AGCGGCCAGATTTCACAACCGTACAGTAGGGTCGAACGTACTGCTGCATCGTACACTCTACCCTTCAGGGCAAGAGTGATGTCGCGCCGGCGCCATAAGTGGCGAAGGTTAGCAAAAGCGCCCCGAGCCTTTGCTATACGATTCGTGATCTTATCCTCAATCCCACGGGCGCTGATACAACTTCCCAGGTAGTGGAATTTTTGAACGACGTCTAGCTGAGCCCAACCAAGGGTCAGCGTAGGAGGCGGTCAAGACCAATTTTGGAGAAACGCTTTGCACTTCGAGGGTGCGAAGCAAAGCCCGAAGGGACGGACATCTAGTGCTAATCTGTCCAGTGCCGCTTGGCACGTTTGTGAGCTGTCACAGCTGTCACGACAACTTGCCGTAAGGCCTCACTCTGCCCGAGCTACGCGCATATAATGCTCGGATAATATTCACATAGGTCTCAGGTACACCTTTCCTGATTAGACAGTCCCAAAGTGCATGTCTATCCACCGAATCGAATGCACCTTTCATATCGAGGAACACGACAACGGTGGCTCGCCAATATGGATGACCGTGTTCCAACAACTGACGCAAGGTGAAGCTGTGGTCAATGCAGCCACGACCTCGACGAAATCCAGCTTGCTCCTCACGAATCTGGCTTTCACGAGTGCCAGTCAGTCTGTGAAGGATGACAGAGGCAAGCAATTTAGAGGCAATCGAAATCAGACTGATTCCTCTATGGCTGCCGCACACCGATCGTGAGCCTCCTTTGAAAATTGGGACTATGATGGAGCGGGTCCGATCGGTTGGGACAGTTTCCTGCTCCCACAGTCTCACTAGTAACTCGTGTAAATCATCCACAAGAGCAGGTCCCCCGAATTTGAAGAGGGCTGGAGGAAAGTCATCAGGTCCTGCGGCTTTATTTAACTTCAACAGTTTGATCTCACGTTTGACTTCTGAGCGAGAGGATGAATCCAAAGGGACATGCCAGGAAGCGGGGCGATCACTGGTCGGCGAGAAATTTAACAATTCCGACCGATTAAACTACCTTTCAAAGGGCTCAGCCCAAAGTTCCAGGCGTTTTGATAAGTTGCGGATAGGCTGTCCACTCTCGTTACGTATAGTTTCACTAACACCAGGTCTCCTGCTGCCCGTTTCCCGCATCAGACGGAATAACTCACGATGGTTACCAAGGGCAGCGGCTATTTCCATCTCTGTTTCAAGACGAGACCACCAGGATTCTCGGTCTCTCTTTAGGCTAGCACGTAGTTTCGCCCGGAGCTCTTTGCCAGCTTCATTGTGTTCGCTTCCAGCCGGAATGTACCGGCGAGTATCTATAAGTTCCAGAGACTGTGAAGATACCCAATGTCCATTTTGACAATTAGACATACCACATGAGGATTTGCCTGCTGCTAGTAAGGCCTGTTGCAAATGAGACCAGTGAGCTTCAATTGCATCCAGTGAGCGTTTATCCAACTCGGATGACATCGTCATTTGATAGGCGTTCAGAACAGCTGGCTTCGCCAGTCTGCCGGTGTCAGTGCGCTCACAACATCGTCGCGGGCGTCCGCCAAAGCGCATCCGCAGGTCAGCACATACAAGTGTATGATCGGTGTCAACACCTGTGCTCCAAATCGAGCGACAGTTCTGGACGCAGCCTCTCCAGCTGTAACTGATAGCAATGTGATCGATTTGCGTCCATAGCTGGTTCGAGGCTGGTGGGCGCCAAGTCACCCTCCAGCGGGTGCTGTGTCGGAAATTAGTGCTCGCAAGAATTAAGCGAGCATCCTCACACAAATGAAGTAACCGCTCACCGTTATCATTACGGGAGCCTATACCATGTTAGCCGCCCAGATGCAGCTTATCTGTGGATAATATTCCAACTTGAGCGTTCAGATCGCCAGCCAGCACTACAGTGTCCGAGCTTCTTCTGTGGCGACGGAGTTCGTTCAGTTGACGATAAAAGTCGTCTTTTACCGAGTCATCGCTACATTTTGTCGGTGCATAGGCAGCGATAACGAATAGACACCTGTTAGTCCCACGCGACTTTGAAGTTTTAAACGAGCCAGCCAATCGGACCGCACACATCCGGCTACTGATTGGAATCCAAACAAACAGAGAAGCTTCAGCCCGGGGACTCAGGGCAATACCAACACCGGCTTGGCCGGTGCTCGAAGCTACATCGTCACCGGAGAGGCGCAATGAGAAAGTGTTGCTAGTGTCACCTGTAGGGGATCGCAGAGTGAGTACAGAGCTCGAGTCTTGCAGGCGGGTCTGAAATTGGTGTCTGCCTAAGAGCAAATGCTCCATCCTAACACTGCTGGCACTTCTAATCGTGCCTTTTCATGGGGACCCTGGGTTGTGTTCTGCCAGCCTCTTTCAACGACACTTGTTGTGTGTACGCGATTTCTTACATCGAAATTGCAAATAAATCCCTTTTGTGTGAATAATCCGGAGTGGATCGGGTGTCTGTCCTTAAGATCTTGGATGACAAATGATAAAGAATGCGCAACCACAAACGGCAAAGCGACGGGATAGATTCTGAACAGTGAAATTCAGGGTATTCTTTTCAATAATTTAAAGGCAGCAACTTTGCATGAAACTGAGAGGAACAAGTTTGTTCTTGTTATCGTCACTGCGGTCTGCAATCACACAAGGATCTTGTCGTACGCTTTGGAAGGCAGAAAAATTCACCTGTTCGCTTAAAGCGTTCGGAATATATGATCATTCTCCTCATCCAGTATCTCCGAGTTACACATTCTCGCAGCAAGCTAACGCAAGCAACGAAGTAAGTACCATTTGCGTTCCACAGGTACAAAGCTTAACAACTATTTGATTTGCCCGGGACTTGTAGACTTCTCTCCAGTGAGCCATGGTTTCGCCGCTTTATCAAACGGTGTAAAGAGGCTTACTTTACTTTGATTTCAATCTTGCTGCTTAAATGTAATGCACAGTTATATCAAGCGAATAGACGGGAAAACATCTTTATTCTAATCAAAATTAACAAAGATATGTTCCACTTACCTGCAGTGCGCAGCGCGTTAAATGGTTGTACAGCCCCACGTTAAGCGTCTACATGAAAAAGTCAGAAGCTATCCTATTTGAGTCTGTCTCGCAACACCGTCAAATCGTCAATATAGATTTTATCAAACAACAAATGTTAACAAATGTTAAATGTTCGTCACGAAATCTGCTCCATTATGTTACTCGCTAAACTGCCAAAGCCTAAGTGATCTACAAAAATGTATTCACAAAGAAGAGTGCCATTTGCTAGCATTGTAATGTCCGTAAGATGCACTTCCATGTCGGATGGAAGCATGAGTTTGCTGTCTACCACAAAATGTTGTACTTGCCTAAAAAAATAAGACTAATTTCAGTGAGTGAATGGATGATTCTTTGCGTACCGGTTCCAACATACCGAAAGCTACCTTGCGAAGGAGCGGCAGAGTGAGAAAGATATGCTAGTTAGCGAACGTATAGGTGTCTGAGACTTGTGAACCTTCAGAGGTCCATATACTCTGGGAGAGTGTGACCGCACTAGAGTCAGCCGATGGAGCAAGAAGTTATTTTTATTGAAATCGCTCCTCTAATATTTCTATACATTCCGTGATACTGACCGAATCGCACACGCTTCCTTACGGGGAACTGCCTCGCGGGAAAATCTGTTCTGTTTATGTAAAATGGCTATAAGTTTACTAACGTAGTCGAATCTATTCTTAAATACCAATCAGACAATTTTTCTCTGGTCTGGGAGGCATTTGTATAGGTTAGGCACCTCTGATGGCACCTCTGGGCTTTATCGACAAGATGTCCGATGCTTTCGTTTTACGACCCAGATAATACTGGATCACGTGCACCAGTGTGGTTCTAAAAATACCACTTGCAAAGGAAGTCGTGGGTGCTAGTTCCGTTAGCTGATATATTGGTTGGTCCAAATGGCTCTAAGCGTGAAACATTACGTTGGGAAAAGAAAAGCCTTGTCCGCAACGACATTTCCCTTTATCACATTTGATCAGATAGCTGGCTGAAGAGGATTTGGACACACAGTTCTGGATACCCTGGAACGTTTTGTTCCGTTTAATTTGCTTACAGACCATGTAACAATTTCGTGTACTCCGGCACCTACGGCTACTCCCACATCCCTTGCTTCTTAAGCTTGAAGCATTCGTGTTAAAAGGATTAATACTTTTCGACAATTAAGTCGTAACGAGCACATAGTGGCTGTAATTCGGCTGTCTTTTGTCAAGCTTTCAATAGCTAAAACGTTTAGCTGATAGTTTCTTTTAATTGTAGTGGGCTGAACAAAGTCTTCGGAAGCACATCTCGCAATTTTGCCCTCATTTTCGCACATATGCGTACATCCTTATTTGATCACTGTAATTTTAAGCCGATTCACCATCGAAGGTGCACCGTAGTTATGGTCAATGTGTTCTGAAGTCCTGTAAAAAACATACCATCCACCAACAGATCGGATGAGATACGGTTCCGCTACAAGCTGTCAGACAGCATAAAAAAGTGTCAAAAGTCTACCTGCATCCAAAAAGTAATCACGTTAACTTACCAACTTACTAGGTGGCTGTGGCTTGCTAATCACTTAGATTTATGTGCCTTTCCTTCAATTTGCTATATTCCGTTGTCAACGTTCACAAGAAGTTGGATGACCTTAGTGTTTTCGTACAAATCTGTAGGTGGCACAACAAAATCTGTCGTTGTATTCAGCGGCAAAGTAGCCAGCAATGAACCTGACTACTTCTGTGGCTTAGTCTCTGACCTGAATCTGACTAATCCATGCTGCTTCTATGCTCAGTGTGACCATTGTTTTCAGGGCTGAGCAGTATTGTGGTAGTGCTACCGCAGAGTGAACTCAACCATCTGGGCTCTGTGGATGCAGTACGCGACTAGACCGCGGACTCAAGCACAGTGTGTACTTATCCGCTACCGTTTTCATGAGTAGGTTTATCTTTGTTTATCGGTATATATTGCAAGTAGGTTCAACTCACACCAGTGCGTACAAAATGAACCTTCTACAACCGACGACTTTAGCAGCCCTAGTAACTTTAATCGGATTTGTGAACGGTACGTAAAACGAAATTTTCCATGTAATATAAATGAATGTTTTCTTAGTTATACCTTGGTTACATTAAACAATTGCGTCGTCAAAAAGGAACTATATGCGTTACGAGAATTTTGTGCCAATTTAAACGTTCTGATATATATGGTACCCAATAAGGTACACAGGTGTAGTTTATTGAATACAAACGCCATTAATCTCATTGGTTGACACTACGGTTCGGGCGTGCTTGTGTACCCAGTACCAGATGTTTCCGTTTGGTTGTTTAATGATTTTCACTGCTAATTGCTGCTCTTCGTTAGGAGGCTAGAAGTTTTAAGTACAACTGATCCCAGATCCCTGTGTAGCACTGTTTCACCATCAAAATGTATTGTGCTGTGGTATAAGTGGGCACTTTTGCGAAGCATGTAGATATTTTTACGATCGCATATAAGAGAAAACGGAATGCAAGAAGACACAAACTATCAGTCAGAGTCAGACACCTGTTGGCATTGATTTAGTATAACTGCAATCCTAAGTAGCGCATTTTCTATCTTCTGTCACCCCACTACCAGATACCCGATTTTATGATACGTGGTGGAAAAGTGGCAGCCAAAATATTCAGGCGAGTAGTCGGAATTGTCAGCTAGTTTACATGGATAATAATACATGTAATGTTCTACTGATCTAATGTTTAGTGATTGCTGAAAGAGCGTTTGCCTAGCAGATTCCCTAGTATGATTTGGCGGTGAATCGCTACTGCAGGGTTTAATCTGATAAAACCGAAACAGCTTGTAGAAATATAATAGATTGTTACAATGTCATGGACCCATACATGAGAGGGTTGAAATATATCTTATTCTACTCTTCATGTAAACAACAATTGCTCCACTTACCCACCTTCAACGTTTTGTCGGCGTCATCGTAGGTTGAAATTCTAACGAAGCTAATTATCCACAATACACCTCGGAGTAGTGGTTTACGGAACAATATCTATTGAGCTGACTCGCTACCTAAACAATTTTAATGATTTAGAAATGGAGGCAAATACAACCGAGCCTGTAAAGGATTTCCCGGAATGGCAGTTCCGATAAGAATAGCTGGTCTTTAGACTACAGTGTTATTGACTATTGGACTTTTGTATCACACGTTCATGTGTGGGTTGAAAGTTTATTGTGGTGTCTACTTGAATGGGATCGCTCAGTAATTTTTACACAAACAAATAAATTATAGGCGCTATACACTTCAGCAGTGTGAAGCACAGTTTAAATGAATAATCCGATTGATGTGCTTGTCTGAATGGCAGAAATGCGATTGGTGTTCAAGTTATGCAAAGCACTTCGCTAAAATAGGCGACCTTTTTGAAGCCTGCAGATAACACTGTAGTAGACTTCATTCCGTTTAGCATTGCCATATGATACTCTTAAGGATACCTCGGCTTGGGTGAATGTCCGAGAACCGTCGTTTGATATGTCACGTTGCTAGGACGTGGTTACGACGCCGCACAGGTGAAATTGATATCAGCAGCTGCTCAAGTAGTGCCAAAAATTAACCATCACTTTCCTGATGTTGCATGTATACACATTAGAAATAATCTAGGTATCATTTAACTTTCATTTCTTTGTTCCATTCTTACAACGGAAAATACTAAATGTTGTGGGACCTTGGTTTCATGCCTGGCGTCTGCGATCCTGGTCTCACCCGCATGATTTGATAATCTGTTTTTTTTCACTGCATGTATTCCTCCACTTTTGTGTGCTGCTCTCAATTAATTTTTCCGGGTCTACTAAGTGAGCACCTCAGACAAATCGTCAGATCACTAACTCATGCCAAAAGTAACCGTGGTCAAAAGCTAAATTTTATAGCTTTATTTTTCCACACCAGAAATTCTGTACAAGAGACGAAACGAACGATAACTGTCATCACGCTTACACGTTTCATAGTGCATCACCACAAGGTATGTAGACGTCTTTAATTACACAGAAATATAAGCAAGTACACGTACAAATATAAGTTTGCTAATGTTCAGTTATTCTTGCTTGTGCGTGACTCTCGTTATACCAGTCAGAAGGCGGGACGTTCAAAGTTGGCCGTGCTCTACGATTCCTCTCTTTGGAGTTTATCGACATACACGTTCTCACATCTTATCTGTTGCTCTATTGCTTCTTGTTTCAATTCATCGCACGTCCAGCAATGGAAATCTACTCATGCGATAATTTAAACTCGCTACGTTTTTTAACGCTCGTTACTCGTGCATTTTCGCACGACTGAGTCATCAGAAACGAACTAAAAGAAGTGTAACAATTCTGTTAGAAAACAGCGTGCTGCATGGAGAAAAGCTCTTCGAATGGAAAAAAATTAGAGAGTTCTGACCGTCCAAATATGGCTTAACAACAACATCCGCTCAATCATGGGGAAATTAAATGAACTATCAAACATCGTTTTCTCAAACAAGTTTTAGCACCTTGGAATCATTAGGTTGCATGAAATTTGGCTCCATGAGGTGGTGGATGATTCAGTCGTATGCGTTGGAGAATTTGTTTGACATCCGGTTGACCGCCAATGCACGTATCGAAATCGAGGTGGTGGAGTACTTACTTACACCCATCCGTCTTGGTGCATTGCGACAAAAACTGATTTTTACTTTCCACACAATTTGGCAATTGCTTAGTCAGACAATGTAGGCTCAGATGTTTGAATAGCTACCGGTCAATACGGTTGGCTAACATCTGCATATATCCTACCTGTCCCAAATCCAAAACGGAAAATTTCTATGATGAATTTATTGCAGCTTTCGTAGATTACCTCGGTCGTTCTCTATGTATTTTAGGGGGAGAATTCAATCGATGTGACACCACTTTCCTCACCGCTCTCGGGTGGAAAAAGTATCGTCAATCTCCCCACCATCTCAAACACAACCTTGGACCTGGTGTTTGTTAATAATTTGTAATGGTTCTCCTGATGTACTCGGACTTCATCGGGTAAATCTGATCACTTAATTATCAATCTTTCACCTGTCATCTATAGTAAGAAAAACCACTAATAAATAACTCGTTACAATGATCAAAGTGTAAGGTTGGGACAGTTCTGTCCACGAAATCTCGACATACTTCGCGAATTCATCTCATCGATTGAATTTAGTTTTTTATGTGACCATGAATTATCCAGGCGTTATGATAAGTTGACACGTTATTTAAACTGCTGCTTTGATATCTGTTGCGTTTTGGAAATTATTTACGTCCTCGCTGACAAGTTATCTTCCCCAACCTGAAGCGGTTATGACGACTTATAGGGCAACAATTTAAAGATAATGACGGCATCTCAGTAAGATCTCTCACAGGTCGTATCAAGGAAGAGTTACACCGTCTTAACACAGTGTGTCCTGTCTGTTCTCGGGAACGTCAGTTGTCGTGAACTCTGGAAGAGGCTTAAAACGCTTAGCGGAATTTAGGGGTCTGAGCTCTTCGAGTTCAGATGGGTGGTAATTATAGGCTTAATCGAACGGCTGACAACGGTGGGTCTGTTAAAACAGTGTGCTGTAGCGAGTGTTTCTTAGTAGGCATGCCTTTTAGACCAGTGGGCGCCGAGCGTGTAATTGGGTCTCTGTAGTGGCAGCGTTGGCAACAAGTGAAACAGCCGTAAGTGAAGGTTGGTGAGGTGCATTGGATAGCCGTGTTACTGGACGTACAGTGTCATCTGACAAGCTGGTGTTGCTGTCGTTCTCCATGAACTTTACCGGGAAAGGCACCAAGGTCACGCGATGGCATGGGAGACATTGCTAGCCTGTTGCCGGGAGGCTCACGAGAGCACTAGTATAGAACTTCGTTGTCATGTCCTATGAGACAATGAAGTTCAGTGGAATCGGATTCGGCGCCTGACGACGCCGGACGATTGATTGTGAATATCAAAATCACGACAGTATGGATAACCAGAGGGCAGGAAGCGTTGGAATCGAGACGCCTCAGGTGGCTTGAAAGAAACAGGGCCCGGAAGGCTATTAGAATAAATAAGCTGACTATGTTGCGCAAGCCTGGGGACCTGTATAGCTAAGAAATGGAGGAGTGAGGAGGCAGAGCAGTAGCAATACCCGCAAGCTCTTCCAGCTAACCGATCAGGCGCAAAAGGCGTCAGGAAGACACACAGCGACGTGCGGTGTATGAGAACAATACGGAAACGGTATGGCTCGTTGGGGGGACAACTTTCAAGATCCGTTAGTGGCTCCTTTTCAGACTTATTCACAGGTTGTGCAGGACGAGCATGAACGGATAGTTAAAGCTCCGTCAGCGACGGGTCCAAAACGCGATCCGCCGCCATCTTTTGTCGCGCTGGCCAAATCTACCTGCATTTTTAGGATGAAGTGCGGTCTTGAAAAACACTGAACTCTTATCGAACGTATCTGGACGGAGTGTCTCGGATAAACGGGAGCGTATAGATTAGAGTGAGCAATATACAGGAGGGAGTCGCAAGAGTGCTTTCACCCCGAGGTATTAGCTAACCGCAGTTGTGACAACCTTACTGGTGATTTCTGTTCGTGCCTCAAATTAGGGCAGGGAAATCTCGGAGGTAGAGAAGAGAGGCCGGTTTCCGAGGACGTGGTGTCTAGACCATCTATTTGGGGAGGGGTTAGGAAGGGTCAGCATACGCGACGACACTAACTGTGGTCTCGCTTAAGCGTGGTAGGATTTACGTCGATCGCAACGTTGCTGTTCGAAAATACTTGCGGCGAATGGTGTTTCCACGAAGTAATGTGAACATCTTGGCTCAATGCTCGCAATACGGCGCGTTCAGAGTTTGGGCCCTATTTAGATAGCTTTCCAACCACATGTGACGCTTCGAAGGGTAGACGATTTCCTTTTGTAATACGTCGTGGATACTTCAATGAATGATTCCTAGCGGGACTCAAGACGTCGAGGCGTGAAGTTGTTGGTTAAACAGGTTAGAGGCTCTTGAATCTGGCGGACGATATCGTCTTGTTTACGTCTGCTGTACGCGTGGTAAATTTAACTGAATCTTGTCCGGAGGGGTC